CCTTGAGCTGCCAGGAAAAAAAGGGACTTCATGCGTTCCAGCAAAAGCCCAAAGGTGCAATATATAGAGTAGAGTACTATTACATGGGACAGACAAGCAACACTCTTACACTGCTAACCAATTAATGATTGTAGGCCCAATACAATTACTGTGTGGTATACTGGTATCACAAGTATCTCTATCTTTCCTTTTGGAAGGCAAGGTGATTTTATGTTGTACAATCCTCATGTACATTGTCAGAAATAGATATAATCTTATTGTCAAGTACGGATGATATGAGAGAACTAAAAATCACAATGCCCCGATCATCACAATAAATACAATAAGAATGCTATTTTTTTAGGAATATATAATCTCGTCATTTTTTTATGAAATATCTCAATGCGGGAGCATTAGCCAGCTCATTAAATAGCATAAAGATTAATGAGTTGCATCTATAAGGAGAAACAAACCTCCCACTAAGATAGACAGGAAAGTGGGACAAGACATACAAGTTTTGAGGGAAAAATAGAACATAGCTCAAGAGATCTACATGTCTTTCTTTTAAAAAAAAAAGAATGTGTAAATTTCATTTGAGAATTGGCCCTTGCTAACAGATGAGACAGTCACACGAAAAGTAAGTTTAGTAAGAGCACCTTAACACGTTCGGCATCAGAAAGCGGCCTTGAATGGATGTCAGAATTCAATAGTTGTGCAACAAAATCAATAACAGGTAACGGCTCAATGAAAGCTGTAGCTGACATATCTGGAAAAGGTACAAATGCTCAATATGGCACAAGAATCATCAAGGACATTAAATGCATTTATCCCAAATGAAACATATAAATTTGATGTAAGTGAATCACATAACAATTCCAGTTGAAAATAGGAATGTAATTGCAATCGTGAAACAAAAAATAGCACTCAAATCTAAAAAGTACTGAGACCTATGCACTATCTCTTTCTTCTTGCTCACTTGTTCATGCAATAGAACAAAGAATATGACTTACATTTCAGCTATGCATGCACACATCAGAGAGAGAGAGAGAGAGAGAGATTTACCAATATTCAGTGATAAGCCCATCTGAGTAGGCCGAATGCTCTGGTAAAATCCACGCCAGCTTTCCAATCCCTCACCAAGGGGTTGCCTCCTACCCAAGTAAGGCGAAAAGAAGGAACGTCCAAATGGCGCATATCTGTGAACCACCAAAATGAGAAAATGTCAAACCTCTGTTTCTTAAATGTCTTGTGTTAGATATAATAAGTGGCATAAGAACCTCGTAGGTACCTTGCTGATGGTAGCTCTCGCAGCACAATATCAAGAACTTGCAGTGCCTCCTGTGGAGCTTCTGCGTGCCTCCCAGCTAAAAACAACTCAAGCCGGTGAAGGTCGGCCCGTGCGGCGAACTTGATTACTACTCGGAAAGTCCTCTGTCGCCTAAATGAAAAGAAAACAACTAAGTCAGCAAGATTGGCCACATAATACTGTTGCTTTTGTACAAGTGCGGGAGGTGAGGCAAAGTGAGCAGGCGACCTCTCAGAACCAGAACCATCATCGTCGTCAAGTAAAGTGATCTGAAACTCCTGTGAAGTAAACGGCAATGGGCCAGCCGTGTATAAGCTCTTTCTACCATCATATGCAGGCAGCCTCCCACCCAGATAAGATGCCTTGTACAGATTTACCAGCTCCTTGATCACAGCTCGGTTAACAATGCGTGATGTAACTTCTGGAGTGATGGAGACCTGTCGAAAATCAGACAGATTAGTAGAGCAAAACTCCAGCTAAAAATGAGTGGGTTTGAGGGGGGGGCCGGGGAAGAGAACACACATCGTAGTGATGAAGATCCTTGTTGGGCAGGTGAGCGAAGAAATGATTGGCCTTGACCATGCACCTGGTGCCAATGGTACCCTTCCCCGGGCGCAAAGGAAACCTAATTGACTTGCTTGAGGATGGAATATGGTGCGGCGTCGTGGTAGCGGCATCCACAGGTTGTTCCTGAGGCGGAGTGGGTGAGGGTTGAGCGAGCTCACTGGGACGGGGAGCTTCCATTATTGCTTGGCGCAGCTCGGGAGCTAGAGGGCTTGATGATGCGGTGGCCGTGGTAGATGAAGAGGAAGCCACGGTGACAGTGGTAGCACGAGTAGGAGTAGACCTTGGCTGTTGCTGCTGCTGCTGCTGCGGCGGCGGCGGCGGCGAGGCACCTCTAGCACGGCATCCTCGTCCTTGCTGCTGCTGCTGCTGCTGAGGCTGAGGCTGAGGCTGAGCATATCGGGCGGCACGGCCTCTCCCTCTCCCTCTTCCACCAGGATCTGGAGCCTCGGTATGGTGGCGGTGCGTTGGCCTCCGTGAGGCCATGGCATGCAGGGAGTGGTGGCTGGCTGCACAAGACACTACCCGTAGCTTAGCAATTTAGCACAGGAACAGAAATGGCAAGCGAGTCTCAGTCTCACTAGGGGAGATTAGATAGACTAGTGAGTGAAGCTGAGGAGGAGGTAGTAGTAGGTAGGAATGGATTGGCATACCTTGGCTTGTCTTGGACGGGGCGGCGGCGGGGGAGTAGGAGGAGATCGATCGATGGATGGAGAGTTGCAGCTGCAGCTGGCAGGCAGCGAGCGAGGCCGGGCCGAGGAAGGAAGAAGACGAGGGGAGTGGAGCACAGCACAGAGAGGCGTTCCAGGCAGAGCACCCTATGCTAACCTGGTCCCACACCCCTCCTTCCCTTGTCTATCGTCGACATGCCACGTCATTCACCCTCCCCCCCCCCCCCCTCTCTCACCTGTATTACGGTGTGTTTAGTTCACGCTAAAGTTAAAAGTTTGGTTGAAATTGGAACGATGTGACGGGAAAATTGAAAGTTTATGCGTGCAGGGTTTCTCTTACCGCCGGTAACCGCGCGGTTACCGGGCTTACCGTGAGGGGTACGGTAATATAAATATCGTGGTAACATCCTTAAATTCAAATAAATTTAAAAAATAATTTGAATTTTTGATAAATTTTGTACGGTTTTTCACGGTTACCGCGCGGTAACCGTGCTTTACCACCGGGGCGCGGTAACCCCGGCCCCAACGGTTTGGGATACCCTGATGTGTAGGAAAGTTTTAATGTGATGAAAAAGTTAAAAATTTGAAGAAAAAGTTTAGAACTAAACTCGGCCTTAATCTCATCTGGAGTACTCAACATATCCACTACAGTATTAAAAACTCTCATCAGATCAGACTTGAGTAGCTGCTTTTACATATACTCCTATGCCATCGATTTTTTTTAACTTTTTAAAAATTTTAATATTAAAAATAAACCTTTCAAATCTTATTTTGAAGAATTGAACATTTTAGCCACACCAGCACAACTGATGTGACAAAACAACGATGTCACACCAATTTGACTGGCATGGTAATATTGGCCCTGTTTGGATCTAAGGGTTAGAGTTAGAGGTTAGAGTTAGTTTCCAGCTCTCAACTAACCCTGAACTAACTCTAGCCCTAGAGATGTTTGGATGGAAGGGTTAGATTGACAATAAATATACTTTTCCAATCATTTGGCTCCTTTCCAACCAGATTTGGTGTGGCAGACTCATGTGTGGCCTCCTCCCTCTCACAAATGACACAAACAAATCATATTTCAACCCCTCCGCCGCCGGCGCTTGCGAGTTGAGGTCGAAGCCGGTGCCGGCAGAGGAAGCAGTGGCAGGGCCGCTCGCCGACGGCTGCGAAGCCCACGCACTGAGGTCGTCGAAGCCGTCTCCGTCCATGCGTGGCCGGCGGCGCAGATCGGTAGAGGCGGCGACGTGGATGGTCGGAGGCGGCGCGGCTCGGGGACGGTGGCGGCGCTGAGGTTGGCCGGCGGCGCGGTTGGATGGAGGCGACGCGGCTTGGGGCTGGCGGCGGCGCTGAGGTTGGCTGGCGGCGCGGTTGGAGGGAGGGCGCGGCGTGGGTAGTGGGGGAGGTCGCGCCGCGCGGATCGGCGGCGGAGGCGTGGATCGGGGACGGCGGTGCGGATCCGTGGTGGCGGCGGCGTGGATCGGGGAGGCGGCAGCGTCCAGCGAGAGGATCCCGTGCGGGATCGGGAAGAGATGGGGATCTAGTGCGGGCAGAGAGAGAGAGAGAGAAGTGGCTTCTACGGTGGGCCCCACTCAAACTAGCTCCAATAAGCACCTCTTGGAGGGGCTAGTTTTTTTGGTGGGTTAGATGCAACTAGCCCCAATCTAACCCCTCATGTTTGGATCCTTTAGGGCTATTTGAGCCCTAACTAGCTCAAACTAACTCTAACCCTTGGATCCAAACAGGGCCATTGGCCTTGTTCGGAAGACTTGTTTGCCACAACGCAGCCAACCAACAGTTGTAACTAGCCACTAGTAGCTACAACCTATAGGTGTTGAATCTAGCAAGTGTTGAGAGCAGTAGTTTGTGTGCAGCTGAATGGATTGGCTGTACAACACAGCTAGACAGCTGTAAAATTTGGGCTATCAAGCATGCTTGTTATTTGGTCACATCGGTCTGGTTAGCGCGGCTGCATTATTTGGCCACACCACCTTCCCTCGCATGGCAAGATATTTTGCCACCTAGAACGGGGCAATCAAAAGGTTTGGATTCTGGAAATAAGTTTTGGAAGATCTATTTTTAAAATAAAAAATACAAAAGTTCAAAAAAAATTCCATACCATCACCTGTTCATTCTTATGAACATTCATCTTTGATTAGGAAACATCCTACTAATAATATGAACAGACAACATCCTACTAATAATACTCATCAATGGTCTGCAGTAAACTTCACCTTCAGTATAATTATTTGTTCACTGGCCCCAGATATAGAAAAAGACATTAGTATGTACTACTAGCTGTAGGAAGAGTGTTCAATAACTCTCAGATACTACAAATTAACGGTAATACTATCATTTCTTATGTGTAATGTCTTTTGTTTTCCAACACACTTTCCAGTTGTGTGTGCCCACTGCCTACTGTTTCATCCTCAAGCACCAAATCAATCAATCAACAGACGCCACTGATTACACAAGCACCAGAGTTTGTCCATAACATGCTCAGAGACTCAGGAGTGTTACATTATTATGTTAAAGAGATCCAGACCCCTACTGATCCAACGTATCAAAGCAAAGTAAATGGATAATGTTACAGCATAAAGGAAAGGAAAACCCTTTTTACCCATACCCAGTGAGCCGGAACATTTGGTTCAGTTTACATGCCAAATCTCTTGTACAAAAAAAATACTATATGCTGCAAATTGTGCAGCAAGGGGAAAAGAAATCTTTTTAGGCTGCCCAAATCAATACATTCCTGTAAAAAAAAAATCAAACTTTGGTGCAATCAAATACGGTTAACCATCATCTAAGAAATGGAGTACCTCCGTAAGGAGAAGCCAAATTAAAGCTACAGTTCCAACTTCTGGGTGCCCAACTGACTGAGCATGATGGCCATGTCCATCCCTGAGGTCATTGTTGCCATAGCCATCTCGTACGGGCATTTCCTAGAGAAGCCAATCTTGCCAGCCTTTTTTACCTTCCTCATGCAGTTTTTGAATTTCTCATGGCATTTCACACTCATCAGACCTGCAACCAAGAAAAAGAAGAACTAACATGAGTTGGTTCAGTAAGAGATGAGATGACCAGGAAAATTTCATAAAGAAACAACTGCAGTGCTTGTCTCTCACCCCTGGATAGTATGTTTCATGCATAGCCCAGTGAAAAATGATCAGGCAATCCAAGCAAGCATTATAATGGTTGTGAATAAGAGGGTGAAGATGATTGTTTTCGCGTAAGTGGGGTATCTCTGCTAGTGTTTCTTTTTAAAGAAAAAAAACTCCTACATAGTATCTCTGCTAGTAGATAAAGTTTGATTGTCCAGTGATTTGAATTCATGTGAGTTGATGTGCAGCAATCTGAAATTGTTTCGTGTGCAATCATTCAAGTCTAAGACAGTGAATTGAGTTAGAGTAAATGTGTAGTATGCTTATTATTGTAGGAGTGAAGTAATTGGTAGAGAGATCCAGAGAGGAAGAAAGAAACTCCTAACCTTTCTTGTCGACGCAGTGGTCGTGGTCGCGGCAGCAGGCGTCGAGGTCATCGCAGGGCTCCTCTCCATCGCAGCCGCTCCAGCCAACGCCGCAGTACTTGCCATACCGGATCCCTACGGCTGCAGAGACAAAGAGTTGGAGGATTAGATGGTGGGGGACGCCAATCAGTTGGAGGTAAGCGCTCACGACGCACAGTCGCAGTTGAGGGCGGCGCACGAGCGGCTGCACGGCGGCGGAGGCGGAGAGGTGGCCGAGGATAGGACGCCGGCGGCGAGGAAGACGAGGGCGAGAAGCGGCGATCTCGGCGGCATCGTCGTCAAGATTGGATGGGATGGTGAATTTGCGATTGGTTGGTGGGCCATACTTGTCAGTCTCAGTTACCTAAACCCACTCCACCACACGGGTCGACTCGACTCCCACTCGTCAACCACCCAAACCCCCCACCACTACCGAGTACCAAATGGCGGCGGCGGCGGCGGCGGCGGCGGCGCCCTCTCCGGCTCCCTGCTTCCCTTCCACCCGCCACACGCTGCCTGGGCTCGTATCTGTCCGCGTCTCTCGGAGAGTCAAAGTCGCCGTCGCCATCGCCGACCCCGCTCCGGCCTTCAACTCCGTCACGGCCTTCGCGCCCGCCACCGTCGCCAACCTCGGCCCGGGATTCGACTTCCTCGGCTGCGCCGTCGCCGACGCCTCCCTCTCCCTCGGCGACACCGTCACCGCTACCCTCGACCCCTCCCTGCCCCCCGGCACCGTCGCCATCGCATCCGTCACCTCCCCCTCCCGCCCCACCCTCGCCGACCGCCTCTCCCGCGACCCCCTCCGCAACTGCGCCGGAGTCGCCGCCATCGCTGCCCTTCGCGCCCTCGATGTCAAGTCCCACGCCGTCTCCATCCACCTCACCAAGGGCCTCCCCCTCGGCTCCGGCCTCGGCTCCTCCGCCGCCTCCGCCGCCGCCGCTGCCAAGGCCGTTGACGCCCTCTTCGGCTCCCTCCTACACCAAGATGACCTCGTCCTCGCGGGCCTCGAGTCCGAGAAAGCCGTCAGTGGCTTCCACGCCGACAACATCGCCCCGGCCATCCTCGGCGGCTTCGTCCTCGTCCGCAGCTACGACCCCTTCCACCTCATCCCGCTCTCCTCCCCACCTGCCCTCCGCCTCCACTTCGTCCTCGTCACGCCCGACTTCGAGGCGCCCACCAGCAAGATGCGTGCCGCGCTGCCCAAACAGGTGGCCGTCCACCAGCACGTCCGCAACTCCAGCCAAGCGGCCGCGCTTGTCGCCGCTGTGCTGCAAGGGGACGCCACCCTCATCGGCTCCGCAATGTCCTCCGACGGCATCGTGGAGCCAACCAGGGCGCCGCTGATTCCTGGCATGGCTGCGGTCAAGGCCGCGGCGTTGGAAGCTGGGGCATTGGGCTGCACCATCAGTGGAGCAGGGCCAACTGCTGTGGCTGTCATTGACGGGGAGGAGAAGGGCGAGGAGGTTGGCCGGAGGATGGTGGAGGCATTCGCCAATGCCGGCAATCTCAAAGCAACAGCTACTGTTGCTCAGCTCGATAGAGTTGGTGCCAGGGTTATCTCTACCTCCACTTTGGAGTAGGAAGGTACTTTTTTTTTTATGTGTTCCTTACGGTGCCTCAGATATTCTCCTAGTATTGATCACAACATGTATGCATTTCCTCAAATCGCTTCAATCCCAAGCACAAATTTCACTAATTTCTACTGGGTCACTAATATTCTTGGACAATGGAAAATGCTGGGAGAGTGAGGGGTTTTGGACATCGATTTACTGTTAATACCACATCCAATTTCTCCGCTGATACATTGGCATAAATAAGTTGGCTTTTTTTAAGGCAACTGCTATAGGTAGTACAGTATGTTTTTGGACAGCAGTTTCAGAGTAACATTTGTAGCTCAGGATGATTTCTAGTAATTGTGTTACTCTGAATGAAAAGATTCAAACTTTAATAGGCCTAAATATCTGGACTTTTCAGTATCTTAGAAGGCATTTCGATACATACATGTTAGCCATGTTTGAGGTTATGTTGAGTTGTTGCAAGATCTGTTTAGTCCACAGGCAACATTTTTTCGGTTTTTGGATGGCATGAATCATAAGGAGAAGTAGGCATCATAAATTAATTACTCCCTCCGTTTAACAATATAAGTCATTCTAGCATTTTCCACATTCATATTGATGTAAATGAATCTAGATATCTAGATTCATTAACAATAATATGAATGTGGGAAATGCATGGCTAATTAATTTTGCACCGAGACTTTGGCGGTTATGCTCTCGATATTTGATATATGACCTTTTGCTATCGATCTCTGTTTTCCAAAATGTGCTGGCAATAACTGCTGCTTTCCTTTGTTTATGTTAATGAAAAACTCATTCCAATCACAAAAAGAGATATGCTTTCTTACTTGTGAAAAACTCCTTCCAGGCGCAGATTTGCTGTGGGTGAAACCTCTTACTACGTGTGTGGTTTAGTTGAAACTTTCCCTTTGTAAATTTCTTTGCTTAGATCCAGGTGTTGGTAGTAACTGGGGATAGAAAAGGTTTATCTGTATTGTCTTAAGACGTTGCTTGCATTATGGTGAATATTATAGGCATGCTGACTTTTAAATGGATTTTGTGTTAATGAGATTAAAAAAAAAACAGAGAGGGCAGTCATGCTTATGCCATGTATTATGTGTTGCAGATCTGGGAGGACTGCTCCGGTAGGTCAAATTTGGAATGGCTCACATGGACACTAGTGGGAGGAGAAGAAGGGGGGATTGGTGTGTTTTGTAATTCCTGGGCTGACCAGAACGATTGTCAGTCAGTTGGGTTGTGAATTGTGTGATGTAGTAGCAAACTGATTCGTGCCGGCAATTGAATTGCAATAAGCTAGTGGTTGCAGCATCACCTGGCGAGGCGTAGCTAGGAGATGCAGAAACAGCATTTTGACATGTGTGGGTGTTGACATGCAACGAATAAAATGAATGAAGCTGAATTGAGGTTTGTATTGTACGAGTACAGTATGTTGTGGAAGGCCTTTGAATTATATTGCATTACAGTTTGCAGGTAGGTAAAGCTTGTGTAATCAATCATTGATCGCCAGTGAGGGAAGGAAGGGAGGAGGCATGCGCGCACGTCGGTCCAAGGAAGGGTAGCGCGGCGCACACCACTCGCTCGCCAAGGTTGGAAGGAGCGTGCGGCCCTGTTTCCCGGCACCTCTTTCTCCTTAATTCCCTGCCATCTGCATGCGTTCATCTGCAGATCGACTCCGATCGACGCCTCCGCTTGACGGAAGGAAACAGAGGGGAAGAGAGAGGATCGTCGTCGACGATGATGCGGCGGCGGCTGGGCTGAAAGAGAAACAGCATCTCTTGAGGATCGTCGTTTCGTTGCATGGGCAACTACTACTCGTGCGGCGCCTCGTCCACGTCCAGCCCGACCTCACCGTCCTTGGTCGACTACTACTACTGCTATCATCGGTATCCAAGCAGTTGCAGTAGTACAAGCACAGCAACAAGTAGCGGGGGGAGGATGCCGATCCGCAGCCACCAGCAGAGGCTGTCGTCCCCGACGGCGGTGCTGGGGCACGAGACGCCGGCGCTGCGGGAGGTGTACACGGTGGGGCGGAAGCTGGGGCAGGGGCAGTTCGGGACGACGTACCTGTGCACGCAGGTGTCGACGGGGGCGGAGTACGCGTGCAAGTCGATCGCGAAGAGGAAGCTGCTGAGCCCGGAGGACGTGGAGGACGTGCGGCGGGAGATACAGATAATGCACCACCTGGCGGGGCACGGGAGCGTGGTGACCATCCAGGGCGCGTACGAGGACAACCTGTACGTGCACATCGTGATGGAGCTGTGCGAGGGCGGGGAGCTGTTCGACCGCATCGTGGAGCGCGGCTACTTCTCGGAGCGCAAGGCCGCGGAGATCACGCGCGTCATCGTCGGGGTGGTGGAGGCGTGCCACTCCCTGGGCGTCATGCACCGCGACCTCAAGCCCGAGAACTTCCTCCTCAAGGAATCCTCCTCCTCCTCCTCGCTCAAGGCCATCGACTTCGGCCTCTCCGTCTTCTTCAAGCCCGGGCAGGTGTTCAGCGACGTGGTGGGGAGCCCCTACTACGTGGCGCCGGAGGTGCTGTGCAAGCACTACGGCCCCGAGGCGGACGTGTGGACGGCGGGCGTCATCGTCTACATCCTCCTCAGCGGGGTGCCCCCCTTCTGGGCGGAGACGCAGCAGGGCATCTTCGACGCCGTCCTCCGGGGATCCCTCGACTTCGACTCCGACCCATGGCCCACCATCTCCGACAGCGCCAAGGACCTCATCCGCCGCATGCTCCGCTCCCCGCCCAGGGAACGCCTCACCGCCCACCAGGTGCTTTGCCACCCCTGGGTCTGCGACGACGGCGTCGCCCCCGACCGCCCCCTCGCCCCCGCCGTCCTCTCCCGCCTCAAGCAGTTCTCCGCCATGAACAGGCTCAAGAAGATGGCGCTGCGTGTCATCGCCCGGAACCTCTCCGAGGAGGAGCTCGCTGGCCTCAAGGAGATGTTCAAGGCCATGGACACCGACGCCAGCGGCGCCATCACCTTCGACGAGCTCAAGGAAGGACTCCGCAGATACGGCTCCAACCTCAGGGAGGCTGAGATCAGGGATCTCATGGACGCCGTAAGACCGTCCTCACTTCTCTCAATCTCTCAATCTTCTTTGCATCTATATCCTCTTCTTGATTAATTTGCGCATATATATTGCAGGCCGACGTTGACAAAAGCGGCACCATCGACTACGACGAGTTCATCGCCGCCACCGTCCACCTCAACAAGCTGGAGCGCGAGGAGCACCTGCTCGCCGCCTTCGCCTACTTCGACCGCGACGGCAGCGGCTACATCACCGTCGACGAGCTCGAGCACGCCTGCAGGGACCACAACATGGCCGACGTTGGCATCGACGACATCATCCGCGAAGTCGACCAAGACAACGTACTTTCCCCTACTTCCATTCAACGGCACTTACCTAGCTACCTCCATTATTCATTCATTCAATTCGTCACAATATGCAGGACGGCCGCATCGACTACGGCGAGTTCGTCGCAATGATGAAGAAGGGCGCTATCGATATCATCGGCAACGGAAGGCTCACCATTGGAAGGCCAACTACGGCTACTTCCGACGATCCTTCTCCAACAATCTCTTCTTCCTCTAGATGATGCATCAACGCCAAACAAACAAACAATGCAAATATGGTTCCCAATTACTTCAATTCACAACTCCGACTCACGGATCGCTCGCATGGCATGCTAGCTAGTAGCATATACTCTATACTCTCAAGATTCATCATTCTTTTTATACCATGCATACAGCTGATTATTTCTTGGGATAGAATAAAATTAAGGGCATATACCTCCAGAGATCGATCAATCTATGCATGTATATGGTTTTGTTGCGGATACATGCATGCCAACGGAAGCAATTTGTATATGTGGGTACCTGATCCAAGAGAGTGCATATAAAGCAATTTTTCCTGTGTATATGTCATTTTTTTTAATCATCAATTAAGACTTGTGACAAACTTTGTAATGCAGGACATGGGGGGCAAAACGGGTGAGTATTAGAGTATTGCTGCTGAAAGATGAGTCTAAGGCTATGCAACATTAATTTTGAATGGTTACGGTTAACAACAAATTTTGGCACCATGAGAAATTTATAACAAGTTTGGGCTAGATATGGAACAAACCGAAGCTTTCCTGAGGAGGCCGGTCTGACCGCCGTTGTGTGACCGGCTTATGGAGGGTGAACTACAGTCTGACCGCAGATACGTGGCAAGTCAGACCGACAGTCCCGAATCCAAGTTCAATTAAGATTATCATGTTTCCTTGCTTGGGCCCAAGGTTTCTTGAACGTGGAGATGGTGTTGAGAAGGCAAGACCAGCCCCTTTATACGAGCTATGTCCGATTCAATTCTAACCCCCAACCATAATCCCTACAATCTATCGAATTGTTCTTTTACCTTTACTTTTTTAGCCATGTTTTTTACTTTACCTTAGTTTCGTCTATCTTTGTTGATTTGCGTCATAAATCGTCCGCCTTCGCTGCGACAGTGTAATACCTATTGTAGGTTTGTCCCGTAAACCTTCCGATTCGTCCGCGAGATGAGTGTTATCTTCAAATCAATCTAAATCAACTCCACTAGCCAATTAATCTCTTAAATCCATGTTGGTTTAGAGTTTTTAGATTGGGGTGGTTGGCAACTTTGTTAACACCATAAATCTTTAGGTGAGTCCCTGTTGATTGGAAAAGGCGCCAACAGTTACATAAATAATGCTCCCATTTTTAGGAAAACCCTAAATAATACTTCTTTTTTAGAGACACCCTAAATAATAGTCCCTTCAAACACAAAAGAATGTTGTTTTAGAATCAGTGCAATCAACAGAAGTTTATTTTTTACTGCAAATTTTTAATTAGCATATAAGCTTTCATAATATTATACCTACGCAACTAAATATTTTTTATTTAGAATATAATAAAAGAATTAAGTGATCAAGGTTATGTCTTATTGACTTTCAAAAGGTCTAAAACGATATTTTTTAGGCTGGAGGGAGTATTCGATATCATGTTTTCCAATCTTACTCTTATTGGTCTTACGTATAGGACTGGTTCCTCACAAAAATAAAATTCCATCACTGGCTACTGAACTAGTACATACTTATATTTTGGGATGCTAAAGAGCCGTCTCGTGAAATTTAATTAACACGATAATACACTGAATTAATGATTTAAAACTGTACTATTTATATAGTATGTGCCATGTGTTAAGTGTTAATAACTAGCTAGTTCAGCTTTATCTGTCCCGTTGCTTAAATATGAATTGTTCCCTAGAACCTTTTTTAGGATATATAATTGTTCCCAAGATATTGAGGACGTGGCAATTACACATCGGTGAATAATAGTTTAACAAAAAAAATATTATAGAAAATATTCTAAATTTTCTGACCAAGTCGTGCTTGCTGATCATGCATGATTATAACGTGCAATGAAAGGTTATGTTTTGGTAAAATTTCTGGAGTTAGAAAGGAAGGAACAAATGACTGATCATGGTGTCTAAAAGACATGTATTTAGATTAATGGATAATAGTTCAATGAGAAGAAAATTAAGGAGGGGTGACTATTAATTATTGATCGAAAAAAAATCACGGAACAACAACGTTGATATGCGAATAAAAGTTCAAACTCAACTCAACTCGTTAATTGCTCAAGTCGAGTTATGCAAGGAGGAGCTGGATAGGCGTCGGCATGCCATGGGTGGGCTGGTGAAGCTGGCGTAGTAGGTAAGCACTAATAGTAACCACTTAGTCATGGACAGGCACGTCTTAACTTGAGCTCGGTAGCTAGCTAGCTAGCGCCGAGTCATTTCCGTGTGGCAAGGCTTAATCCAATTCCAATCTGCACATGCATCTGCATCGATCTGCATGCACATGTACTATATATATATATACGAACAACGTGATAGATCGATCGATCGATCAAGAAATCAATTCGATTTCGCCGCTGGCTGGCTGGTTAACTATTGCATATTAATTTGCATGCGTCGATCATCGTGCCTACCCGATCGAGTTGAATTGAGTTGAAGCGGCTAGCTAGGTAGAGGAGAGGACGATCAGAATTAAGGAAGATGAGAGGCGCGGTGGTGGCGGCGGCGGCGGCGGCGGTCGGCAACATGCTTCAGGGATGGGACAACGCCACCATCGCCGGCGCTCTCCTCTACATGAGGAGGGACTTGCCGGCGCTCCAAGCCCACCCCGCACTCCAGGGTCTGGTCGTCGCCACCTCCCTCATCGGCGCCACCATCGTCACCACCTTCTCCGGCCCGCTCTCCGACTCCCGAGGCCGACGCCCCATGCTCATCGCCTCCGCGCTGCTCTACTCCCTCGCCGGCCTCCTCATGCTATGGTCTCCCAACGTCCCCATCCTCCTACTCGCGCGCCTTGTCGACGGCTTCGCCATCGGCCTCGCCGTCACGCTCGTCCCCGTCTACATCTCCGAGACGGCGCCGCCCGACACCCGCGGCCTGCTCAACACGCTGCCGCAGCTCACCGGCTCCACCGGCATGTTCCTCTCCTACTGCATGGTCTTCCTCATCACGCTCGCGCCCATCCCCAACTGGCGCCTCATGCTCGGTGTCCTCCTCCTGCCTGCTCTCCTCTACCTCCTCCTCACCATCTTCTTCCTGCCGGAGTCGCCGCGCTGGCTCGTCAGCAAGGGAAGGATGAAGGAGGCCAGGACCGTGCTCCAGATGCTCAGGGGACGCCAGGACGTGTCCGCCGAGATGGCGCTCCTCGTCGAGGGGCTCACCACCGGACGCGACACGGCCATCGAGGAGTACGTCGTCGGCCCAACGGACGAGGCCAAGGTCACGCTCTACGGCGGGATGTCCTCGGGATTGGCGCCAGGCAGCATGTTCGGCAGCGCCGTCACGCTGGCATCGCGACAGGGCAGCATGCTCGACCACCTCAAGGACCCCGTCGTCGCCCTCCTCGACAGCCTCCACGACATGAACCCCCCCGCCGGTGGCACTACTGACGTCCCCAACCTCGGCAGCATGATCGGCGTCCACGACAGGCCGCCCATCGACTGGGACGAGGAGAACTCCGGGGACGACGACGGTGACATCGCCGCGCCGCTGCTAACCATGGAGGGCGAGGCCGCGACGAGCACGGTGGGCATCGGCGGCGGGTGGCAGCTGGCGTGGAAGTGGACGGAGGGCGTCGCGGCGGACGGGACGAGGCAGAGCACGGTGAAGAGGATGTACCTGCACGAGGAGCAGGCGGAGGGGGTGCACGCGGCGGCGCTGGTGAGCCAGTCGGCGTTGTGCACCAAGAAGGAGGCGGAGGCGGAGGTGGAGGGTGGGTGGCGGGAGGTGCTGGAGCCCGGCGGCGTCCGGCACGCGCTGGTGTGCGGCGTGGCGATCCAGATCCTGCAGCAGTTCTCGGGCATCAGCGGCGTGCTCTTGTACACGCCGCAGATACTGGAGCAGGCCGGCGTGGGCGTGCTGCTCTCCAGGCTGGGCCTGCGCGACGACTCCGCCTCCATCCTCATCAGCGGCGTCACCACGCTGCTGATGCTGCCCAGCATCGGCGTGGCCATGCGGCTCATGGACGTGTCCGGGCGGCGGAGCCTGCTCCTGTGGACGATCCCGCTGCTGGTGGCGTCGCTGGCGGTGCTGGTGGCGGCGAGCGTGGCGCCGATGGCGGCGGCGGCGCACGCGGCGGTGTGCACGGGGAGCGTGGTGGTGTACCTGTGCTGCTTCGTCATGGGGTTCGGCCCCATCCCCAACATCCTGTGCGCCGAGATATTCCCCACGCGCGTGCGTGGCCTCTGCATCGCCATCTGCTCGCTCGCCTTCTGGCTCGCCGACATCGCCGTCACCTACACCCTCCCCGTCATGCTCGCCTCCCTCGGCCTCGCCGGCCTCTTCGCCATCTACGCCGCCGTCTGCTGCGTCGCGCTCGTCTTCGTTGCGCTGCGGGTGCCCGAGACCAAGGGCCTCCCGCTCGAGGTCATCATCGACTTCTTCAACGTCGGAGCCAAAGGGACCCTACCAAACCTCCACGACGATGACGACCACTATTAATTAACACACCATTTATCCATTAATAACATTTGTCATTTCTTTTTGTTTTGCACATTTTTCTTTCTTTCTTTCTTTCTTTCTTTCTTAAAGATAAAAAAAATTGTTGTTACTACTATATATGCCCACTATAATTCCTTTTTTGTCACTATAATTCTTGTACCATTAATTCATTCATTCAATATGTGTCTCTCAATTTTGCCTCAAACGATTGTGGCTTGTGCAGCAGCATTGGAAGGATGATTGTGATGTAACCCACATTGTCCAAGAAAATAGATACATGTAACTAACAAGTGGTTTTAAATTTCCTTGGCATTGATACAAGATATGTACAATTTCACACTAAATTTTAAGATGATTGGGAGAGTGATTGATCTATGGTTAAAAATTATATTCCTTCTCATGAAGTAATATCACCTTAGTTTTACCTTGGACGATTAATCTATATTATTTTCCTTCTCACATTGAACCACACCATTTTAATTTTGCTTTTGAAAGATTAATGCTACATAACATTTAAATTATTATAAACCACATCATATTATTTGTTTGTAGCTTTTTTCAGTATTTAAATTATTATAAACCACATCATATTAATTGTTTGTAGCTTTTTTCAGTATATAGTCAATCATATGAGAAATTATATAAAGTACATACAAAATTATATTGTCCAATTATCTTACATATTATTTATGTTATTATCATACGAAATTTTCATAGTAATACACAAGGTTTCATCTAGGTATTCAGAATCTTTAGCCGGAAAAGGTATCTGAGACTACAATTATGAACAGAGGGCCGATCAGTGGAGAATATATGTATTGATATGATAAGAGTTTATTGTGTTGTTTCAATTCAAAAAAGTAAATACTATAATATCACGGATTCTCGGGTTGCTTTAAGTTGTGTTCCATTCTTTTGGTCTCTTTTGTCCTCGATCGATCGTTTCGTTGGGACCGGTTTGATAGAGAAAGGACGTAGAGAGTCCAGTCCAGTAATGGAGCTGGCACTTGCAACGGCTGAAACTAAATCGGTGATTATATATTCTAATTCTATGCTGCTGGGCTGCTAGCTAGTGAGAGGTCAAACGTATCATCTACTACTACTCTACTTTATTCAATTCCTCCAACAATGGCTTAGGTTTAGATGTAGTAAAGGCCAATGAATGGAGTGCTCTTTTAGGTTTAGGGGAGGTGCATCATATCAATCGCGATGGAAAAGCATCGGCCAGGAGATAAAGAGAGGAACACCGGCCGGAGACCAAATTAACCCCGCCCTCTACTAGCTACCTGATCGCCTCCTGCAGGCCTTGCCACTATCTACACTACACATGAAATTTAATTTATGCATATATATGGCACTCCAAATTAAGTAAGACATATAGTACTCCCTCCGTTTCACAATGTAAGCCATTCTAGCATTTCTCACATTGTTAATGAATCTAGACATATATATCTATCTAGATTTATTAACATCAATACGAATGTAGGAAATGTTAGAATGACTTACATTATAAAATGGAGGAAGTATTATATTATTTCAGTGGACTAAAACACTACGACAAAATTAAGAAGTAAGCAGTGTTCTTGTCACACCTTCTTCGAACACGCAAGAAGTTCATTATTTGCCACCATGCATATAATATATGTACACGATATGAAATAATCATATATAGTGTAGATCTTGCACTAAAAACTGGGAAATTTTTTGGGGGGGGGGGGGGAGAGAGCTTCAACTAAACCAAAGCACCGATAGATAGTAACTGATTATCAGCTAAATCAAGGAGTAATGTTGATTGAAATTAAGGTACTCTATCGATCGAATATATAGATGGGCTGTAGGAGTATATATAGAATAATGATGGTTGAGGGGTGGCGATCGATCGAGAAGAAAATAAAGAAATGAAGAAGAAGCAATATATGCATGCGCATTGATATAGACATACATATTGAGATGCAATCATCTAATGTGATCGATGATTATAATAGACGCAGGAAATAATTAATAGATAGATGTGCTGCGTATATATACACTGTTGATGGGTGGTAAAAACAGCGATCCGATGAGAAAGATGGATCATGCATATACAACCAAATCGGAGTACGTAGCTAGGGAGGTGTGTTGTGGTGGGCGGTGGCGGTGGCGGTGGAGAAATCGTGCAGCGTGGGCAGGTCGACCTCCCCGCACCTCCGGCAGCGGCCGGGGAGAGGGAGGAATAATGTACTAGTCCCGACGGTGGCGCGGCAGGAGGGGCAGGTGGCGTGGGTCCCCAGCCACGTATCGATGCAGGAGACGTGGAAGGCGTGGCCGCAGTGCGGCAGCAAGCGTAGCTCCTCCCCCCCGGCGAACTCAGCCAGGCAGATGGCGCACTCCGCCTGCTGCTGCTGCTGCTTGAGTGCGAAGGACACGGTGGGGAGCGCGTCGATGGCTTTCTTCTTCAGGCCTTTGGGTGCAGGGGATGTAGCAGCCGGTGTAGTAGTAGTGGTGGTGGTGGTGGTAGCGGCGCCTCGGCGGCGGCAGGCACAGCGGGCCACGAGGGCCAGGCCGGCGACGCAGATGAGGGCGCAGAGGAGGGAGGCCAGGATGACCACCATGTCCGAGTCGATGGAGATGGCCGCCGCCGGTGTTGCCGGGGACTCGGCGGAGTGGACGAGAACTCGCATTCTTTTCTGCTCGACTTGGATGGAGCCGCCTCGGCCTCGGACTGACAAATCAATCAATCTATCGGAGTGAATGAGTTTGCTCTGCTGCGTAGTAGTACGTGGAGGAGAGTAGTAGGAGTATATATAAGCCAGACAAAGGCAGCGCCTACGTGGACACCGTCACACGTGGCAGCGCGGCCAGCTCACCCGACCTCTCTCTCTCTCTCTCTCTCTTCTCCTGCTGTCCCCCTCTCACTTTGAAACTTACTGTAAGCAAAGCAGCAGCAAGGGCCGTGTATGTAGTATGTTCAATGTACACACAGATTATTCACTACAGAAAGAAAGGATTACGGGAGGTAGGGTTATGACTTATGATTTCTGAATTCCTGATTATCACTCCATTAAGTGATTCTTCCCAGTCGCGTACCAACAAAGACCAAGAGACGACGAGCATGCTATACCGGGACGGGAGGAGGGAGCCGATTGCAACTTGCAAATCAAAGCGCGCACACAAAAAAAAAAGGACATGGACGGCCACCTCACCCTGTCCCCCAAAAGCACCCAGCTGCCTACACTACCATTGCAAAGAAAGCATCAAACCTCTCCTCTTCCTCCGACTTCTTCTTTAATTTTGTTGCCTTTCTCAGCTCCCTACCTAGCTTGCCATGTTGCCAATTGTCAACAATTCCAATCCTAATCCCATCCTCACCCTCTTATCATCAACTAAAGGAAGATATTTCTCAGCATGCCAGTCTCCAAAACCAGATGAGATATTTTCTCAACATGCATGCTTACTGCTGCCAACACTGCACTCTGCTCACACCTGAATCTATATATTCTCAGTCCAACTGACAGGGTCCACAACACACAGAAGGCATTAACGAGCTACAACAGGTGACCCAAATACAACTGCACAAATGGTTTTCAATTATGAACTCATCCAATTAAAAGTAGTACCACTTACTTGTTTAAGGATGAGAAATCGGCCGTGCATTCCAATGTGCCCAACAGCATGCTATCCGGTCCTCCGGTTCTTCTCACGATGCAACATCCATCCTGTTTCAATCCCGGAATGATCAACACCCAACTCGTACGTACTACTTCTATATAGGACCAGCCACTTCAGTTATCATTGCACCAAAGGAAGAAGCAAAAGGAGGAAACTCCTTCCTATCTAAAATCCCAGAAAGCCAAACAACAAGGCTGCACGCCCAAACACATCAACTTTTCTTCCTGCGTACAATCATATCAACCAAAGCATTCCAAACCCCCAATCCTTTTCCACTCATGTTAGACCAAACCAATTACGAATGATCTCTATCTTTGAATATTTCCCAAGAGCTCCTATGCGATGCCAACAAAGCCAATCAAATGCCTAAATGCAAAACCTGTGCATCTCTGGGTAAAACGAAACAATGCATGCCACAGATTAGCACTTCTTTTCGTATGAACTATCAACCAAGTATCACCACGTTAGAATAACAGCACTGCATTGGTCTCTGGAGTAACAGCCACGCCGTGAATGCAAGACAGGACCAGTATAACGGAGCAACCAAGCACTTAAAGCCCCAAGCCAAAAGGTGGGGACAAGTGCAGCTTATCACGGTACTTTATACCAAAAAAGTAGAGAAGGATGACTATTGAGCACAGGACCAAGAAAGTTCAGTTTCAATCTATTTTGCTGGTTTTCAGCCCATAGGATCCTGGTAGTATCAATCTTGGTCCATACCATCAGCCATGTGGTGCACGATACAGCCTATGGCTGAATGCACACCAACATGATTTGGTGGTATCATCTGTGATGCGGATACCTTAGTGTTGGTTACTGGCTGTGTCTAGTGGCCCCAACCGATTGGTTACTATACACAGAATCAGAATATTCCGTCCCCATGAATAAGAAGAGCTACAATTATTAAGTTTGTAGTTCTACATATGAAAGCAATAGAGTATCTACAGGTTTCTGTAAAACATTGCTTACTGATGAGTGAAGCAGTACAGTTTAAAAGAGTTGATGGATTGATGCAAAAAAAAGGAATACAGGAAAGGGCCTAGTTGATCACCACAGAATCCCCCTACCTCCATTCATTGCCTTTTGATCACAGATCAAACCTAACATCCCATTTTCCATCCATATAAGCATTAAAAGTCCAATTGTTTTCCCTGAGTTGGAAATAAGGCATCTGCAAACAAATAAATTTTCTTTTAGAAAATCCATTACCAGAAGACAGATAATTTAGGCTAATGCACTGTGTGAGAATGACTGGGAGGCCCAATAAGTATAGGCAAAATTTTGAGGGGATCAGAGCCAAGGAGATAATTGATCATTTGATTTCCATTGACCTTTTTTGTTTGGCATGTCACCAAGAAATGAAAGACACCTGTTTCACCATTGGGTCCATATTTTCAGATTTACAGGAAAAGGTAGAAACCTAGTTATTCTAAGTCAATATTGACTTACAGTATTGACCCTGTGGGAAACCAGGATTAATGCACAATTCAGGGGTGTGGTTCCACATGATCCTTGGAAGGTACTAAACAGTAGTATATGCCATTGGCTGCTGATAGCTTTGGTCCGTATTTCAAGAGAAAGGAGGAAGACAGCACGGTGCTCAGCCAGCTTGCCAAGGTCTTGACTGCAAGACGTAGATAAGTGGATGTAGATGGGTGAGAGACAAAAGGTCTCGGGAGGTCGGTGGTAAGCAGAAGGTTTTGGTGCAACGTTGCTAGTGATGTTTCCTTTCACTGAGAGTGTTTGGTGAGATTGTAAGTGTCTGTAATCTGTAATGAATGAAGCTCCTTTACAAGACATGGATGCCCTTTTAGTTTTCTAGAACTCGTGGTGGAAGTTGTTTTGATTGAAAGGAAAGAGACATTTGCATAAAGAATAAAGGGAGACAAAATGCTAGATAAGCACAGAAGTTGTGTGGGTAGAGCTAGAACATTGTGGCTGTAACGTTTAGATGGTGATGGTGGGCGTGCATATATATATAAAGAAGAATAAAGAAAGAAAAAGAAAAGTACCTTGTGCAAGAGTTGATATCCAAGTTTGAGCCTGACATCTTGACCCCTTTTGAGATCAAGTATGGTCCATGCTAACTCGACGGCAGCAGTCCGGGCGGTCTGCTCATGAGGGTAGGCAGCATTGGCAAGTTAAGGTAAGTAAGGTAGTATACTGTACAAGTAGAATAAAAGCAAGTAGAGACAGACCGGGTTGAAGTATTTGTCGGCGAGGAGGCGTCCCTTGAGGTTGATCCCGAGCAAGGCGTTGGAGGGGAAGGGGATGATAGCCTTGCTGGCACGGAGGGTGTAGGAGAAGTTGTCCCATGCTAGTGGTAGTGGTTGGTTGTTGCGGAAGTGGATGGCGAGGCCTAGGCCTAGATTGGCGGAGAGACGGGGATAGAAGTTCCTGAAGAGGAGGGCGAGATAGGTCGGGGCGCCGGTGGCGGCGTGGATCTCGCCGTGAGCCTTTCCTTCCGCCGCCGCCGTAGCACAAGGGAATATGAATGAATTATTAATCGATGGTGAAGAGAATGAATAGGGAGTGAGTAGGCGGGATATAGTATAGTACCTGGAGGAGCGCGTTGGAGGCGATGGGGAGCTTCTCCTTGGCGTGGATGCGGAGGCCCTCCTGTGACTTTGACTGCGGACGTGACCCGCCGCCGCGCAGCCGCAGAGAAGTCTCCATGCCGCAGCTAGGGTTTAGGATGCCGCCGCGAGCCAAGACGACGGACGGCCGGCCAGTGGATGAGGGGGGAAGTGACCGTCGTTACTCACTCGGATCGGATCAGATCAGATCAGACTAGATGGGCCAAAACTAACCATAAATATAGGCCTTTCTCATTTCGATGGGCCTGAATGGTCCATATCTCAGGCGGGCTGGGCTATACAAATTCACAAGAAGAAAGAGCAGAGACCTCAATTTATTTATTTATTAAGATAATGGAATAACATTTTGGCATTCGCTCAACGAATTACAACTAATTATTATAAAGTCCACACATAAACAAACACATCATACACATCGGCCATGTATAACGCTCCACTCGGCCTGTGATCACACGGCTCCACGTTAGAGCCGAGCCGAGCTGGTAGCCGAATGCGTGGTTCCGCAGGCCAGAAAGCGCGCTTGAAGAGGGAATGCTTGAAGCGCCGCGCCTGGGCTCGGGAGACGCGAAGCCACGGCTCGAAGACTCGCGTTCGAGGAGTCAGAGCCCCGCGTGTCGCCTCGTCCGGTCAGTCCCCCCGTGCACATACCCCAAATCCCCATATCGTTGTGGTCGTCGGCGCCACTCATCGCCATCGTTGTGGTCGCGTCGCCGCTCGCTAGATCCACCACCACCGCTGCTCCCCGCCACCGCTCGCCAGCAAATCCGCCGTCGTTGTGGCCTGCGTCGCCAGATCCGGCGAGCATGAGGTTGGATCCGCTCCGCCCAACTATCTCTCATCGCCCTCTGCTCGCCTAGGGAAAATGAGAGGGGATATGAGAAGCTCGCGGCGGCGTGAGGGGGCTGGGAGGGGAACGGTTGGCGGGGAAGGGGAAGGGTCTCGTTGGCGGGGTGGATTGGGAGAAGAAGGAGAGCGCCGACAGTGTCAGAAGAAGAAGATGATACGGCTCGGGAGTCGGGAGAGAGAGAATAAAAATCTATGGAGAAGACGAGAAGACTCGGGAGAGAGAGGGGGAGAGGTGACAGTGGGTCCACATGATGTTTAAGGGTGCATATATACTTCTTTTAGTTATTATAGGGACTAAAATATAAAGTTTTAATAGGTTTGATAATAAGATACACCACAAGGCTGACATATAAATAGATAGTGGCTGAAATGCAAAATACGTTTTGGAGTTGTTTCCATTGTGGTTAATGTGATCTTTGTGTGGTTGTATCCTACGTGGTGTTTTGAGACCACTAGTGCTTGTGGTCTTCATTGAACATGCCCTTACATGACTCAATTTAATTATTTGCCTGAAATATATATGGACTAGTAGCAGTTTCATTTTTCTATATTCTCAACAAGAAAAAGAAACAAAACTACTAAAAGACAGAACGGGAGATAACAGATGGATGGAATGGCGTTGCTGCAAATCTACGCCAACTTTTCATGAAGGAAAGACGGAATTCCAACCTAACCTAACCTTAATTTAGGACCTTGTTAGGGCATCTTTAGTTCGCGAAATGAAAATTTTTGTGTGTCACATCGGATGTTTGACCGGATGTCGGAAGGGGTTTTCGGACACGAATGAAAAAACTAATTTCATAACTCGTCTGGAAACCACGAGACGAATCTTTTGAGCCTAATTAATCCGTCATTAGCACATGTGGGTTACTGTAACACTTTATGGCTAATCATGAATTAATTAGGCTCAAAAGATTCGTCTCGCGATTTCTCCCCTAACTGTGCAATTAGTTTTTCTTTTAATCTATATTTAATGCTCCATGTATGTGTCCAAAGATTTGATGCGATGTTTTTGGGAAAAATTTTTAGGAACTAAACGGGGCCTAAGCTTCTACTATTTTCTTTTGAATAAAATTTCGATCGTCTTTCCTGCTTCAAATTACACGTACTACTTTATCTTCTTTTTGGTTTACTTTCAGAAAGGAACAAGTAATCTATTTTGTTGTAGTAGTAGTAGTATCAAACACACACAAGTTTGACGCGCACCGGCACCGCCCCTGTACCGAAATTGTTTGGTCGCCTTTATCAAAAGACACACACGCTGCCTCTCTGTTGCTGCTGCGGTGTGTGTGCTGGTGCTGCAGCTGCAGGACTAGTACTAGCATTCATTTCAGACTGCAACGTCCGACTTGAAGCAAGTTTATCCAATTGCTATGGACGCTACTGTTATCGATTCGAAATGATAAAAGCAAGCGTCAAAACCATACGAATTTTGTAACCTGTGATAAAAATCTAGTAGTATTTGCCACCGAATGTTTTTCTGGGATGCTGTGTACCGTGTTGTTCGCAACTAAAGTAGGGGGAGTCGTGGAATTCTAAACGGTTCGTCAAAGGGGAGAGGAAAACGGAGGCCAACAAATGATTCCATTCTATCCCATTTACGTTAGGGATACAACACCACACATGATAGTAGTAGTAGCATAAAATAAACAAAAAAGAAAAGAAACGTTTTCATCTTTTCTGCTTTACAGTAGTAGGAGAAAGCTGCAGGAGCTCTCCCTCACACTCCTGATGTGATGAGTGGAGAGAGTCCCCCACTGCTGCTGCTGCTGCTGCGCGGGGCAACCGGCCACCGGCTGCACCTCCTCGGGTCGGGGATTTCCGGGCTTGAAGCAGCAGCACTAGGAAGGTAGGTAGGGTAGGGTGGATGGCGTCGTCGTCGTCGGGGCGTCGGGTTGGGGGGCCTAGGGGCGGCGGGGAGAGTAGTCCTAGTCCGGCGGCGGGGGCGGGGGCGGCGGCGTCGGGGGGTCGACGGATCCTACGGACGCAGACGGCGGGGAACCTGGGGGAGTCGATATTCGACAGCGAGGTGGTGCCGTCGTCGCTGGTGGAGATAGCGCCGATCCTGCGTGTGGCGAACGAGGTGGAGGGGAGCAACCCGCGGGTGGCGTACCTGTGCAGGTTCTACGCGTTCGAGAAGGCGCACCGGCTGGACCCGACGTCCAGCGGCCGTGGCGTCCGGCAGTTCAAGACCGCGCTCCTGCAGAGGCTGGAGAGGGAGAACGACCCCACGCTCAAGGGGAGGGTCAAGCAGAGCGACGCCCGCGAGATGCAGAGCTTCTACCAGCACTACTACAAGAAGTACATCCAGGCTCTTCAGAACGCTGCCGACAAAGCCGACCGGTTCCTCTCCTCTTTCTTTTACTCCTCCTATTTTACAGTACTATATACGTCTAATTCCTTCACAATTTTATTTTTTATTAATTCCTAACACTGACACTAGTAACACCCCCTCCTCTCAGTGCTCAACTCACTAAAGCTTACCAAACTGCTGCCGTCCTGTTTGAGGTCCTCAAAGCCGTCAATGTCTCCCAGAAAATTGAAGTTGATCAAGCGGTAATCTTCTTAACTATAACTTGATTATGCATTTCTTCATTTTCTTCTTCTACTAACTTGTAATAAATAACCTCTCTTGCAGATTTTGGAGACACACAACCAAGTCGAGGAAAAGAAAAAACTTTATCTCCCTTACAACATCCTCCCGCTTGACCCTGACAGCGCTAATCAGGCTATCATGCGATATCCTGAGGTTCCCATTCTTCTCAAACCCTACCTATCTTAATCTTACGTATCTTTTCCAACTCATTCTGCATTTTTTATTCTCCTCATTTTACAGATTCAAGCTGCTTTTCACGCTCTTCGTAATACAAGAGGACTACCGTGGCCCAAGGATCATGAAAAAAAGCCTGATGCTGATCTTCTTGGTTGGCTTCAGGCGATGTTTGGATTTCAGGTAATCACACCGCCCTCAGGCTCACCCACTAACTTAACCATTATTTTCCTTCTCTTCACCTATCTGTCACTTATTTGCAATTCAACTATCACTCTGCAGAAAGATAACGTGTCCAACCAAAGGGAACACCTCATACTCTTACTTGCCAACGTCCATATAAGGCAGATTCCCAAGCCCGACCAACAACCCAAGGTCTCACTCTTACTCAACGTCCATATCGGTGCTTGTGTCATTCTGGTGGTGCTTGTGTCATTCTGGTGTTTACTCTTTTCTTTTTCCTCACATTTTCAGTTGGATGACCGAGCACTGGACACAGTCATGAAGAAGCTATTTAAGAACTACAAGAGATGGTGCAAGTACCTTGGCCGCAAAAGCAGCTTATGGTACGATATTTAATCTAAAAATACGAATATGCACAAGGTCTCTCAAGCTTGCTTGATGTATCACTATCAGATGGTCATTTCCTTTCCAGGTTGCCAACTATTCAACAAGAAGTGCAGCAGCGTAAGCTCCTCTATATGGGTCTTTATCTTCTCATCTGGGGTGAGGCGGCTAACCTGAGATTTATGCCGGAATGTCTATGCTACATCTATCATCACGTATGGCTGATCCCTTCCATTTTTCCCCTTAAAATTAGTATATGGTTTTTACCAAGCTAGTAGGCCTGGATCTTAAAGTTGCGCAAGCTTCTTACCTGAATACCCAATGATGGTCTGGTCACAATAAAATTGACTTATCGGACCTTTTTCTTTGTACAAAGCTATTTCCAATTTGCCATATTTGGTTTCTATCTACAAAGTAGTTAGCTGGATCTTAATGGAGTCCAGGCTCCAATGCTGATGATGTTCCTGGCCATAATAACATTGACTTACCTGACAATATATGAGAGTTGCACACAGCTATTGCCATACACAAAGAATCACATTCTGCTCACGTTGATAATATGAGGAAGCATATCTTGGATGGAATTCATCTTTCCCCATCATGTCAATTATGATGGGATATTTCTGTATTTGTAACTCTTGTGATGAGATTATTTTGGTGAGTGCTGACTGTGTAATATTGTTTTCTCATAGATGGCTTTTGAACTATACGGTATGTTGGCTGGAAATGTGAGTCCAACGACAGGTGAAAATGTTAAACCGGCTTACGGTGGTGATGAAGAAGCCTTTTTGAAGAAAGTTGTGACTCCAATATACAAAGTCATCGAGAAGGTACCCCCCACCCCCCCAAAAAAAGTATATCTCTGTTTCCAGCTCCATCAACTTATACACTCAAGCCTTTTACATAGGAAGCTGAAAGGAGTGAAAGTAGTGAAAGGAGCGAAAGGAGCAAGACAACAAAATCTAAGCACTCACATTGGAGAAATTATGATGATCTAAA